CAAAATGCATGTTGGCTCTCCTCACTTCCTCAATTCTGAAAGAAATAAATGTATCTATAAAGAAATTATAAATTATTTATCATCCTAATCAAGTGTTATGGTCAGCGTGTGGGAAAAACAGTTCTTCGCTCTAGAGTAGCAATTATGTACTTTCTAAGCCTTTGTTAGGCTATTCTGATCTAAATGACGTGCGGAGAAAGTTTATTGTCAACTCATAAGTACTCTTAACTTAAGGAGATCGTAGGGCTCTCTCTTTTATGAGTGCTAGCTATTAATCACCATAGGTCATAAGGGCAGAATAAACCAGAAACCTTTGGATCCCTTGTTGTCAGATTTCATTCTAAGGGGTCCTATAACTACATCCAGGGCTTTGGTCCAAGTAGACAGATTAACCTTTACCTGCTATGTAATAGATTAACCTTTACATCCAGTGCTTGTAACCTAAAATTTTTAGGACATTATCGCTTGGGAGTGCTTTTTGTTTATCAAAAATAGGTAGGCTGAGGGTAACAATGCTGGTGACTGTCCCTGAGTGTGATAATCTTATATGTTCTCTCTTTTTTGGATCGTGAATGCTTAAATGTTATCAGTAACATGAATCCTGAAATTATGGCTATTTTTTCTTCACCTACCACACAGGTTTATTTTGATACATTGACCATTTTATTGTCCTTCTTAGGAATTCTTTTTGAATTTTTTGGATCCTCCTTTTCAGATTGTTAATTAATGTTTTAGGAGTTAGGATTTATATATTTGATTGTGGACTTAATTGAGAGCAGAAAATGGTGCTTCATTATAAACTTCTATCTGTTGGGAGGTTTGTTGCAGATGCCTGTAAATCTCAAATTTTGACATATATTTTATAGGAATGTTTATTCTAGGTGCTGTATGAAAGTGAAAGTTTGACAAATTTGGCAACAAGACTGCATGGTTTGTTTTGAATCATAACTGATATTTGAATTCTATTTTTTGCCTTTACTCTTGAAGTAATCTATTGGCGGTCAATGCAGCTCTTGCTATTAAGTCAGTTTTTTTTGTGTTGCAATAATTGTTTTTTGCATCTTATTAAGAAATTAGGTTTGGGAAATCAAATCTGACCCAGCAAAAATAGTAATAGGTTTCTGCTTTCCTTAAGAAAATTGTGGTTTCTCTTTTTATACCTTAGACTGGCTTGGTACTGCCAGGCTGCCCTGCTTTCATCAGGAAATGTTACCATAACTTATTGGCATTTTTGTAGGATATTGTTTTGTGAAATACGCAACATTAGAAGAAGGTGACAGGGCAATATCAGCTTTACAGAATCAGTATACATTTCCCGGGGTTAGTTCTTTTACCTGTTTGGTTGGTTGATAGGGAATCTTATGAAATGTGCTTACGCTGTTGCAAATATTATAACAATTTAATGAACTTGCTTTCCAGGAAGTGACTCCTATTAAGGTCAGATATGCTGATGGAGAACGGGATCGCATTGGTGAGGTCAACATGTGAAATGTGATGCTTTAGAAAGTGCTTCTTTGTCAATGCCTCAACTACCATAATTGCATTCCTGAACCTTGCCTTTTAATGACTTCTGCAGCTTTCAAACACTTAGCCTCTAATTTCTAATCACAACTTTGGTTTTTTATTGAATGGCCACAATTGAGGATTATTTAAGTGTCTACTTTTTTGGGTGCAAATTAGCATTATTAAAGCGATAGACCTTTATCTCTTCAAGAAATTGAAGTCAACTTATAGACGCCCTTGGATGGGGATTTGGAATGGTGCTTTAGTTAGATTTCGTGAGGCACACTGTTCAAAATGGATTGTCAATGAAACATGATGATTTTGAGTATTGACATAATTTCATCTCCTTTCTTAATGGTTATTTTCTGGAAAGCTTGTTCATTGAAGAGATTGTGTTTCCTTTTCTGTTGGAGAAGGAATGCCTGGAAATTTACAGTAGGATGCATTCCCTTCTTAATTATCAGAATCAAACAATTCTTTATTATATTTTACTGTTAAGAACAGAGGTGGGCTCAAGATGAAAGCATCTTATTAGCAAATGTACATATATACGAAATCATTATGTTTTATGGCAGCATTTTAAATGAATAATTTTTGTATTCTAGGATTAGCATACAAATCTAATGGTAGTTATATTGCCTCTCAAACTCATGTACTTTTGCTTTTGTATAAAAAGTGAATAAGTGTTACCTATTTTTCTTTAGCTTTCCTCTGATCTTTTCTTTCACTTGCATTTCTTTACTGATTTTCATATCTATTCTGCAGTAGGGCAACAATCAGACAAGTTATATGTTGGCTGCCTTAGCAAACAAACTTCAAAAATGGAAATCGAGGAAGTATGGTCCACATAAGCTGAACTTCCTGGCTTTTACTTTGGAGCTACCCAGTAGACATTATTGTTACTTTTTCATTATTTTTTAAGGTTTTACTGACATCCATAGTCGTAACATGTAGAATGCAAAAACAATAAGGATAATGTCTTACTGATATCACAACTACCTGGAAACCATGTTGAACAGCTAACATGAGGCAAAACATGATTTAAGTCCTCAGGTCCATTGCACGTTTTTGCTATGTTTAACAATATTTTGGCTTAAATTGGCTATTTTTCTTGTATAGGGAGTAGGGATAAATAGCTGTTGTTGTAGATGAGGCATGTTACCTCTTTTCAGAAAAAAAAAAAATGCACCTTCCTCCTAGGGGGGTGGGGGGAGGGGGGGGGGGGGGGGTTGGGTTGCAGAAAACTACATGAAAGATGTTGAATACTCAGTTTGTGTATAATGTTTTTGCAGCCTGATTTTAAATAGAGATGGTCCCTCCATTTAATAGTAAATTCTTCCCCTAAGATATTCTATCATTCACATGATTGCATAGTAGATAATATATATAAGGACATTAACGAAGGACAAGTAGGGTTGATATATCCAATTAGGGATTTAACACTAAAGAAGAATCTAGACATCATACTTAAGGTTTCTCAGACATCACATACGATGCGAGTAGGGGGA